GCTTGCGCACAGCTGCCTCCGCACCTGGCGAGATCTTTTTCACGAAGGACCGTTCTTGCTCCTCCATGGCCTTCAGCCTGCTCGTAGTCATACAGGTGGCGGTTCAAGTCATCGATGCCCGAGAGCCCGTCAGCCATCCATAGAGGCTGCTGCGATCCATGCGGCGTGTAGCCCATGGACTTGCCCTTGCCTTTGCCGTTGCCGTTGCCCCCCTGCCCGTACTGGTTGTAGCGGTTCCAAGATCCCATGAGACCCGCAATGGAACAGCACCAGGGCAGGGGAGGAGAGTTGTGCACGCGGCGAGGGCCGAGATGGGCTGCAGACACGATGGGCATACGTAACGGCGCATGAAGAATATTTAGGCTGCTCGGCAGATCCATGTACATGTCTCGTGGAGAACACGGTGTATGAGGACGAAATGTGAAGATCCATCTGCATGCAGGGGCCCCCCCCAAACCCTCTGGAAATAGTCTTGGCAGGATTCGGCCGAAAAACTTTGACGACAGCCAAGAATTCTGAGCGATGCTTCCGAGGAATACTGCGACGCGTCTTTGCAAGCCATTGCGGGGGCCACTGCAAAAGTAATATCTCACAAACAAGGTCACCGAAAGCATTTCGAGCACGGCTCGGATCCCCTTCGGCCACACTGGTGTGACTGAGAACTCGTTCCGTGGTGAAATCCGAGTGTGGTAGACGAGGAGGGCTAATGAGGAAATTTTGCCAACTGGGGTTGTTCCGCCTGTCCACGGGCAAACTCTGCGTTCGGGGAGAAAGGGCGCACCTCGTGCGATAGGCCTTTCGGCCGGATGTGCGCCTGGAGGTATGTGAGAGGGAGGCCCCGACCCTCCACCGTGACCCCGATGTCCGGGGGCCAGAGCATACGCATAGCACGTTCAAGGCAACTCTCATAACAAAAAGAACATGCTAAATACGAGACTGACGTCGACGTATAAGATGCCTTGGATGAGCTCTGCTGTCGAAAACCCCGGGCATGCAAGACCGATGGAGGCACTATACCCTGCTTCTGTGTGTAAGCGATGGACGTTCTCTCCAAGGTCGCCCACGGTGGCGGGCTCAGACATGCTGCCACCCATGGGCCACCCCGCTTACGGCAGAATATGTCTTTGCCCACCATGAAATGGATGTCCTTGGAAGCGAACTTGAGGGCCCTACGAATATCAGCGAATGTGTATACATCATGATCAGAGGGAACGTGATCTCCACTACGACATAAGAAACCTTTTGCCTTCGAACCCCGTTTGACTGCCACTGCTGTTTTTCCATGCCGTTTGAAGGCCCGGTCCAGGAACAACGAACACCGACGAACACCACGATCGACGTCAGCATCTTGAAACAATTGACTGCCATCGCATTTAACCCAAGATATACACGAGTTTGGTTTTCCACAAGGGCACCGAAACGTGAAGGCCACTGGTGCGAAGACGACGGACACGCTCCGCCAACATTTTCGGTAGGAGACGAGGTTCCCAGAGCGACCAAGAACTATCTCCAGAATGCTGCTTGGCCAAACTTAGCGCGCGGGCAGCCTTCCAGAGGAACCTGCGCTGAGTCTTCTTGCAAGTGGAGGCGATCTCTCTGTGGTGTGCATGCGCGTGTGTACGCTTGAGTGCGCCACTCGTGCGATCAAGGCACTTGCCTTTGATGGTAAGGTACGCATGCGGAAGATGATGTACGCGTGTGATTTCGGGCCTCCGGTGCGTTTTGGGGATGTATATGTCGACCAGTGTTTGAAGACGCCGGGCAACTTCTTTAGCACGTAGGTGCGGGCAGTGCTCGTAGTGTACGGGGTCTTCGCAAAAACACTCCCATAGTTTCCAACCGCAGCAAATACGGGGTATGCATACACGTCTGCGCGGGTCCTTATCCTCGTATATGGCATGCGTGCAGCTCCAGACCAGCAACCCAAAGTACATGAAATGCGTACCTGTCGCCCCAATGCTCGAACAACCAATGTGCCTCGACGCGCCCCGGCAGTTGCAGGTACGAATGGTGCGAGGCAAGTTGCCGGCAAACATCGAAGAAGACGAAGGAGAGAGGCAGGGTGGCAGGAACATCCCAGTGTTGATCCAGCCAAACAACGGCATGTGACAGGAAATCTTGGCAGCGAGGGGCATGTAGCAGATATTGACAAACTGTGTGGGAGAAATCTCAACATACTTGCCGCTGTTGCGGAATATGATCAGAAACTTCAGGAGGTCGCACACTCAATATTTCTGTTTGTGCACGCAGGTAGAGAGCAACATTGGGAGAACGCATTTTTTACATACCCAATGTATGTAGTGGTTACGCGTGCGACGACAATGTTGTACGAACGCGTGTGAGGTATCCGGCAATCTGAACAGTTTGATGCTCGACGGGAGAAGGTCCCCCGACGACATGAATCGTTCAATCTTTCTTCTTGCGATGACAGCACGTTCATACGTGAGGCGTGAGCAGAGAATCCAGACAGATAGGAGATATTCGACCAACCAAACATGACGCCATGCGGCATGATAGCGCAGGCGGGTGTGTCGCTCCCCCAAGTGCGTTGCCAGCCAGAGCTCGTAGCCTCTGCGGTAGAGACGCTGCACCACTTCATCTCTGGAAAGATCGTAGCGCTGACGAGCCCAACCCAGCAAAGCAGCAAACGAGGTATCAGTAGACGGGAGACGGCTCCGCATCGCCTGATCTTCCCGTAGACGGCATACCAAATTGAGTCGAGACTCGTCTGCGAGAGTGGGACGCTTCCGGAACCTCGGGAACGGACGTGGTTTCGGACCCTGCCCTCGCTGAGTTGGTCCTGCTCCGCATTGGGTTGTGGGCCGCAGTACTCTAATTGCCAAGGACTCGTACTCGGCAGTTCTCGCCTCAGTGCTGAAGACCATGGGTGCGAGAACGAACGACCAGGACGAAGATGAACGCCAGGAACGATACCGCGGGCGTCCAGCTTGGTTTCCTTTCTCGCTGAAGGTGGCCTGGAAGTGTTTCCAAGAACGACCCTGCAGCCCAGAGCGCACGGTGCGACTGCGCGGACGAGTGCACTTGGCACGCCCCACATACCAGGCTCCAGATTCCCAGGAGAACGCTGAGTAGCATAATGCTGCATGTGGTTGGGAGGCAGGGTCCCAGACCAGACGAACCATTTCAGTAAGATGCCGAGGCCAAGACTCCCCTCGAAAGTCAGATCGTAGAACGCACATTTGGAGATGAGGCGAAGCACATCGAAGAAGTACTCGCGTCCAGTGTTTTCGCTCGTGCTGTTTTGAAATCCGTTCGCATGCGATAGGGATGCCGGTAAAGACCAGGAGGGACAGAACAGCTTGTGATTCACTTTTGTGTTGCTGCCACGATGCGAGGGTGCACCTAATATTAACTGATGTTTGTAACCAGTGTTGATCACGTACTGCACGCGTGCTGTATTTAAGTACCAGTATGCCAATCTTACGCGCTGTGGTGGTCGTGTCTGATGCAGCGTGATACTACAATACTGACAGAGACCAGATATAAGAGCGTGTTCAGATAAACACTGCAGAGCATGTAGAGGCAGGTGGCGGGGTAGGGAGGGAAAGACTTCCTGCGCACGACGTGACCGGGCTTCCATGCCTGCCATGTGAGGAATGCCAAGGGGTAATTGAACAGGAGAAGGATAAAGAGGCAGACGAGCTTGGGGACAGAGTCAGTGTAGATGAACAAATAGATGGGGACGTAGTAGTGATAGGAATTCATACTTCCACGCCAACAATATGGAACTGTGAAAGCGCTGCTTGTTGGTAGACCAGACATGCGTTTTCACCACATCTGCTAGCACCCGGCCAATTGTGGAGTGTGCTACTGGGGTTTACGCCATCTCCGCTTGGTGCTAAATGGGCCGCAGCACGCACGGCATTTGCGCACGAACTATTCCTCTGAGCAGATCCACGCTAGCAAGAGTATGACTCCGGCTACTTTCGGGACCGTTGTTAAAATGACGCCAAGCTTAGCAACAGCAAGGCAAAAGCTGAGACAGAGAGAGATGACGCAGAGGACCCAAGACGCGAGAGAATCGAGAAGTGAGCTGAGCAAGTTATGGTACAACGTGAGACTTACATGCAAGACGGCTGCGCCATCAACTCTCTCACATCATGTTGCTTCTACTGCGGCTGCTGCTGCCTGCTTAGTCGGTGCGTCGGGCCCGTCGCTGCAAGCGATCGCGCCCTTTGTTTCACCCTTCTGTTGCCGTGGCGAACTGGCCTTGTGGACCCTATTAGCCGCGAAAAAAAAAATCGCTGTGGATGGGCTGGTGCATTTCGCTTTGGCTGGCGCGCTTGAGGACGATGGCCCAGGGAAAGGGGGGGGGGGGCGGCGACGGACTCAGGGGCTTCCCTTTGAGCAACTACGACGTTGCTCAGATTGGCCCCCACCCCCCCCCGCATCGCGGCCGCTCCCCTTTCCCGAAGGGAGCTGCCCAGGCGCTCCTGCCCCCCTCCCTTTCCCGGCGCATCCAGGTGCGACCCCCCCCCTCCCCCCCCCCCCCTTCTCGCCAACGACCCACCCGTGACCCACCGACGACCCGCCAGCGGCGACCCACCCAGCGACGCTGACAGCGGTGGTTCTATGAAGTATTGGCGCCTGTCGGCGGAGGACGATGAGGCGGAGGACGAGGAGGAGGAGGAGGAGGAGGACTTGGAGGAAGAAGAGGATGAGCAGGAGGAGGAAAGAGGAAGAGGAGGAGGAGGACGACGAAAAGGAAAATAACGAGGACGATGACGAGGAGGAGAAGGAGGATGAGGAGGAGGAGGAGGAGGAGGAGGAGGAGGACCCCCAACCAAGGCAGAATGGCATTCTCCCTAGGGAGGGGTTACGATTTCCTCAGGACCCTCCCCCCGCCCCCCCCCCCCCCCCCCCCCCCCCCCCCCCCCTGCCCCCCCTGCCCAGGACCCCTCCCCATGCAGACCCCCCCCCTCATACGCCAAAAGGGTCGGCGGATTTTGGTCGCGAGCTTTCGTCGACCAACATTGCAGTTGAGAGCGACTTGGCTCAAGCAGCGCCCTCGGCGAAGCCTCACGCGACCCCACGCCCCGGCGTGCACCGTGATCCTCTCGCAGGGCGCCCAGCCCGCTCGCCGCGCACCGGCGACGGCCCCACAGGTGCTGAAGAATGAGCTCCCGCAGGTCGACGGCCTGAAGGAGGAGGGCGGCAGCTTGGCGGAGGCTGCGGTGCCACGCCTCTGCGGCTCGCCAGAGCGCAGGCTGCACACCCTGGCTGGCATGTGCGGCGGCGGGCTGGGGGAGGGGACGCCGCCTGAGATGCCGTCCCGCTCCGCCGCCTCGGCCGAGGTCAGGATCGAGGCCAGCGCCCACGTGGCGCAGACGGACAGGACCTTCCAGCAGCCTCTCCAGATCTTCGTCAAGACCCTGGCTGGAGAGACGATCACGTTGCACAAAGTGATGCCGACAGAGCGCATTGAAAGTGTGAAGGCGCTCATTCGGCACAAGGAAGGCATTCCTTGCGAGATGCAGCGTCTCGTCTACAGTGGAAGGCAGCTTGAAGATGGACGTGCACTTGGCGACTACAACATCACGACAGAGTCCACGCTGTTCGTAACTTCCGTTCTGGTTGGAGGTGTGCAGACCGGGGGCGCCAGCGCGTCTTCCGAGAGCGGGGAGACGGGCGCACGGGCGGCTTCCCCGCGCACGTCCGCCGTCAGCTCGTTCGCGGGATTGTGCTCCTGCCTCCGAGGCCGCCAGCTGGGAACGGTTGGCGTCGCCGAGGCGCAGGCTCCCGCCGAGGACGCCAACGAGGAGCCCATCGACCCCAGCCAGTTCACGGACGCCGCGAGCCTGTTCGACGCGCTGGCGTGCACCGTGCAGGGCCTGCACCCCGTGCGCCTGGTCCGCATGTCGTGGCTGCTGCAGCAGCGCGGCACGGTGCTGAAGCGGCGCCAGGATCGAGGCCTCCTAGACGGGGTCGGAGCAGATGGGGTCGGAGGATCGCGCCGCATCGCCGATGCATCGCCGATGCGGCTCGATGCGGAGCCCGATTTTCTTCACGCGGACGTCGCCGATGCATCGCCGACGTCGACGTTGCATCGCCAGTGCATCGCCAGTGCATCGCCGATGCATCGCCGATGTATCGCCGATGCGGCGCGATCCTCCGACCCCATCTACTCCGAGCCCATCTAGGAGGCCTCTACAGGAGCTGCCCGAGGAGGCGTTCGTACCTGCAGGGGAGCTCCGGCAAGTCTGGGAAGCTGGCGGGCGAGGAGGCCGAGACAAGGTGGCACCCATCATCACCATCTCCTTCTGCTGGGATACACGAGACCACCCCGACCCCACGGGGAAACAGCTGGAGTTGGTGATCGATACTCTGGAGAAGGAGCGCCACAAGTACGCCGCACTCAGGTTGGGCTTCCCGGGGTTCACCGAGATGGGGATCTTCTGGGACTGGCCCTCGCTGCTGCAGGGTGACCCTGACAAGGCCGAGGCAGCGAAGAAAGCGGCACTGCAGGAGGGTAAAAGCGACAAAGAGGCCGAGGACGCCGCGGACAAGGCCAAGCGCACGCCCGCCGAAAAAGCTGCGTTCAAGCATGCGCTCCACAAGACCATGGATCTGTGGTATGCCCATCAGGGCACCACAGTCTTCCTCCTGACGCAGCACCCCCAGGACCGAGGCAGCACGCGCGAGTGCGGGTACGACCAGTCGGGCTGGACGACGTACGAGCGGTGCTCCACCGAGCAGATCAAGAATGTGCATCGGCATGTGGCGAAATGGAGCGCCGTGGCCGACCTGGGGCAGGGAGCGGGAGCCAGGGCGGCGGGCAGGAAGTGGCCGGTGGGCCCCGACGAGTTCGACCGGCTCATCGAGGGCAAGACCTTCACGAATGGCTCGGACCGCGAGACGGTGAAGCAGATCTTCCGCCGGATGAGCCGCGTGCAATTGGGCAGCGTGACGGAGCTGGCCTTCGACGGGATGAAAGGACCCCTGAGCCCCGACGAGGCGGCGGGCCTCGGCGGCTGCCTGCGCCTGTGCGCCCGCCTGGAGAGGCTGAACATGAGCGATTGCGAGATCGGCCCCGCGGGCGGCGAGGCACTTGCGGCTGCGTTGCCCTCGCTGACCGCCCTGCAACACCTGGTCCTGGACAACAATGCCCTGGGCGAGGTGGGCGGCCAGGCCATTGCGGCCGTGCTGCCCTCGCTGCCCGCCTTGAGGGTGCTGATTTTGCAGGGCAACGACATCGGCGAGGGGGTGAAGGCCATTGGCGCAGTGCTGCCCTCGATGCCCGCCCTGACGGAGCTGTATCTGGGCGTCAACAACATCGGCGACGGGGCGAAGGCGGAGCTGCGGGCCGCGTGCGAGGCGCGCCGCGTGCGTCTGAATATCTGAGCCGGTGACGGCGGCCGAGGGCCGCCGGGGGCCACGCGTTTTGTTTCTCTTCTCCTCCCCCCCCTCCTGGCAAATCCTGCACCAACGTTGTTGGAGCCCCGCGCACGTGCCCCCCCGCCAAGAGGCTCGGCACTGAACCGGTTGCCTCGTATGTGAGCTTCTCAGGGACTCATTCTTTCCTCGCGCATCATCCCTCATGCATTTCGCTCCCCACGCGGCCAACCTTAATACCGACTGAGCCACTCAGCCTCAGCGACAGAAGGAGGATGCAGGAGGAGAAAGGGGAGGGGAAGAAGACGGGGGAATGAGGCAGGAAGGAGGAGGGAGGAGGAGGAACAGCAGGAGGAGAAGGAAAGAAGAGAGAAGAAGAAGGAGGAGGAAGGAAGAGCGAGGACAGAGGAGGAGGAGGAGGAGGAGGAGGAGGAGGAGGACGACGACGAAACATAGTTCCCCCTCTCTGCTTTCTGTTTCGGCTCTCCTCCTGGTCCTCCTCTCTTTCGCTCCATCCTTCTCCTGTGTTCTCATTGCTCTCCTGTCTTCTCCTTTTCTGTTCCTCCGCTTTTCGCGGTTCCTCCTATTCCTTTTTAGTTGTTCCTTCCTCTTGTTGCGTCTTTGCTGCCATTGTTGCTGCTATGATGCCTGATGCCCCTCTTCCTCTTGCCTCTCCTCCATGTTCTACCTTTGAGGGAGCTTCGATTCTCCCGAACGGCCTGTTATCCAGCAGAGGAGTCAGTGGAGTCCCGAGTCCTGAGTCCAGGGAGAGCCCGGAGGACTCCAGAGTCCGGGGGTCCAGGAGTTCGGAGCCCAGAAGGGGCCCAGACCCCGAGGAGTTCAGTCCAGGAGCTCGGAGTCCGGGGGGGGGGGGGGAGGGATGACGGAGAGGAGCCGAGAGCCCAGGATTGCAGGAATGTTTGCCATCGCTCACTGCCTGGCCTGCCCGCTTCTGCTCCAGGGCTAGGCGACTAGGCGGGAGCGGCAGCGGCGCCAGCGGCGCCCGCGTAGAGAATGTCGTAGGCCGCCTGCACCCTGTCGTTTTTCAACGACTGATCCGTGAGCAGCTTCTCCAGGTCGTTCATTGCTCGACGGCGCTGCAACAAGACCAGCTTCTTGAACCCCACCGTCTTTGGTCCGCTCGGCAGGCACGAAGCTGCCGCGAACCACCCAGGCGGCACATACATAATCTCGCCTGCCTTGATCGTCGTGACGAAGCAGTTCACCTTCCCTGAAATGAACTCCTTGGCCTTGTCAGCCTCGATGCTTTTCAAGAGCGTCGTCGCCCGCTCGAGGAATGTCGTGCCCTGGACGTGTGGAACTTGATCCATGAGCTGGCCGCCGTGGAAGTAGACCACCTTCATGCTGCCCTCAACGATGTACTTCACAGAGCCTAAAAGCTCCGCCTCGAAACTCATGTCCACGTAATTAGGTCGGGAGGTAGCCGATGAACCAGACCCGCTCCGTGGCCGCCTGCACCACGGGGTGCTTCGTGATGTCCGCACGCTGCGCCAACGGCGCCAGCTTCTCGAAGATCGACACGACTCGCGCGAGGCCATGCGATTCCTGCACGGGCGCCGAAGCTTTGTCCCCCCTCTGGCCCGCCTGAGCTGGGAACTTCACTTTGTACCTGTCGAGGCCCGCTTTGATCTCTGGCGCCGCGCAGGCTGCAGCACCGGCGGAGCTCGCCAGCAGCTTGAAGGGGATGTCCAGCATCTCTTTCGACTCCGAGCCCTCAAGCTGTTTCTCGAAAGCCGCCTCATCATGGTAAGTTTTGACCGCCTCACAACCAAGGCTAGACAAGTCGATCGCAAAGACGCCAGACGAAAGACTCCTTGGGGAGCTCCAAACTGCATCCGTAAATCAAGCATCTTCCCTCCTCACTCTCTTCTCCATTGCCCTCTTGGGGCTGAGGTTTGAAGAGAGCGGCGAGGGATAGGCTTGATTGGCGGGTGCAGTTGGGAATTCCGAGCTCCTCAGCGAAGTGATCTGCTTTCTCAAGCTCGCCGAGGCCGCTGAAGCTGCGGCCAGCTGATCCTCCCTGGCCTTGCTCTCCTGCTCCATCTGCTTGGCCGCCGCCTTCCTTGAGACCGTGCTGTGGGATGTCTTCGCAACCTTGGCAATGTCGACGATGGCCTTGCGGAGCTGCTCAAGGTTGATCTTGAAGTCCTCGATCTTCGCTTCGGTGCCCTCGATCTCCTTAGCGGTGGTCGCAGTACGGATCTGCTGTGAGAGCTCCATCACGCGTGCCATACGAACGATCTGGTCCCTGTCGTCAACGGGCAACAGGACTGCTGCATGAAGTTTCAAGTGGAGTTAGTGGTCGCGATACTTGCCAAGGTCCAACAAGTGCTCAGGGAACTCGATGTTGTCCTCTGTCTTCCCCTCCTTGATGCATTCTTCCTTGAACGCTTGCTTGTCCTTGGTGAACAGCTCGTCCATCCCCAGGTCGGAGTCAGTGACGGTGCTGCTGCTCTCATCGTAGTCGAACTTCTTGTCGAGGACGAGGCTGCCAAGCAAAATCCGTTCCCGCAAGAGCGACATCTGCTCATTGTCTGCGCTGGGGCAAGTGGCGCTTGTCTTGCCAGCTGCTGCCAAAGCTTTGAACAGCTTGGTCTCCTCTTGACCCAAAGCCTTCTTCTGCGTCTCTGCGACCGTGAGCCTGGTGATGCCGACGTCGAAGCGGGCCTGGCCAACTGCAGCCTGCCCGCGGCCCCCGGCGAGCTTCGCCTTTGGCGCCGACCCATCACTTCCTTGAGATGCCTCACCAGTGCTGGTCTTGTCCGTTGCTGCTTGTGGTCTGACCCCGTGCGTCATCTCAGAGCCCCGAATCATCAGGGGTAACTCGGGTCAGGGATAACTCGGGTTCGTTTTTCGGGAATCCGAACCCGAATTATCCTGGACCCGAGTTACCCCGGATATTTCGGGCGTCCAGAGCCCCGAATCATCAACCCGGGTCAGGGTTATTTCGGGCTCGTTTTTCGGGAACCCAAACCCGAGTTACCCCGGACCCGAGTTACCCCGGATAACTCGGGCGTCCAATCATCATCACCTCCATCGCCTTCTGGTCGCCGTCACCCGTAGCATTGATGGCATCGGCCGATGCGCTTTGCACTGCAGCTGAGGTGCTGGCCTGCGCCGGCGGAGCGAAGCCCTTCGTGCAGTCCTTCACCGCCTCGTCGATGTCTGAAGCGGACATGGCTTTCCCTTTGGCCGCTGTTGTGGCAATCTCCTGAGTGTGGTAGTTCAGAGCCCCGAATCATCAGGGGTAACTCGGGTCAGGGCTAACTCGGGTTCGTTTTTCGGGAATCCAAACCCGAGTTACCCCGGACCCGAGTTACCCTGGATAATTCGGGCGTCCAGGGCCCCGAATCATCAGGGGTAACTCGGGTCAGGGCTAACTCGGGTTCGTTTTTCGGGAATCCAAACCCGAGTTACCCCAGACCCGAGTTACCCCGGATAACTCGGGCGTCCAAGTAGTTCGTCGTCTTCTGCTCGAGCTTTGTCTCCCCCCACCATCCACGCTGGAATCGGGAGGCGGAGCGGACATTCTGGAGGGCCTCGGTTGTCCTTGTGCTCCTCTGGCGTATCCAGCTCGATGGCTGCCCACTCTCTGTTGCACCTATCTTCGTTCCAGGGTCGAAGGGCCATCATTCTCTTGACGAAGATCTGCTTGTCCCACTTGGGCCTGGACGACAAATCAGAGTTGCTCCGCTCAGTGCCCTTGCGTTCGATGTAGCTGGAAAGCCTGACGTCAGATCCACGCGCCTTCGTGGACTTCGCGGCCAGAGACTCATTTATGTCTGGGCTCTTGGAGAGGATGTCAGTCGTCACCGTATCAGCCAATTCCCAGTCGGGCTCTATTGACACGCCACCCTTCTTCCCTGGCTTGAAACCGAAGATCTGCTTGAAGGACTTTGATTCATCGGTCTCTGTCTCGGGCTTCTTGTGGTCGACCGCCTTGAACGCGCGTCGCTCCAAGCATTCGTAGATCTGGTGGTGCTTCTTGCAGAACTTCTCGTTTCCCTCAATCCCCTCATCACAGGACGGAAGTGGGCAAGTCTTTTGAGTTGCAGTCTTCCGCGTCTGTTTCTTAGGAGGCTCGACATCAGAAGCATCGGCTGTTTCAGTCAAGGCCGCCCGGATTGTGCCCTTGGCTGCATCCTTCCTAGTCTCGCCAGGGCCAGCATCGTCGTCGCTGAAAGCTAAGTCGTTCTTCTGAGAGTCTGACGGCGCGCTGTGCTTACCAAGGCTCGCAGCGCTCCCTGGTGTGTTGACGTCCTTGGCTTTTTCTGGTGTTGCCGCAGCAACATCACCAGACTCCATTTTCACATCGTCACAATCTGCTGTTGACATCCTCAGGTGACGCAATCAGGGTAAACGGCAAGCCAGGCAAAGTGTGAACTCCTTGGTTTGAGCCTAAATGTGTTACGACAGCAGCAAAGCAGCGCAGTGGCACACGCCACGCAGAGCAGAAAGCAGATCCAAGGATCCCAGGTGTTGTTGATGGTTGTTGATGGTGATTGCCGTTGATGGTTGTTGTGGTGTGCTGGTGTGCTGAGTGCTGCTGATCTTCCGTCTGCCGCGTGTTGGTGTTGGTGTTGGCCTTGGTATTGGTGTGTTGGTGTTGGTGTTGGTGTTGGGGTCCCAATCGGCAAGACAGTTGCCACTGTTGAGGGCGGTGCTGGCGTCTGCGGGCACGTGGAGGCAGGACGCAACCCAGAAGATGACTCCGTTTTGACCTGAAGACCTGTCAAACCTGAAGCCGCTGCTAACACTGACCCAACCGTGACTCGCTCACTCACATGCCCAAGACGAGCATGAGGGCCCGGGCGCTCCTGCCCCCCCCCTTCCCCGCACATCCGGGTGCGATCCCCCCCCCATCCCCTCCACCCCACCCGACCCCGCCCCCCCAGGGAAGGGAATACAAGGGAAGGGGCTTCCCTTCGAGTAACTACGACGTTGCTCAGATTGGCTCCCCCCCGCGTGGCGACCGCTCCCCTCCCCCG